ATCTGTTAGGTAATATTTGATGTTGGTCATGGTTTCCACTAATTGCGATTTCAAAGCCAGTGGAGAGAACTCGTTATTCGCACTATATAATGCCATTAATAACTCTGTGCACTATCGTATATTAGATATCTAATCACCTCATCGACCATGAAAGAGCGTAAATTATCTAGTTACATATAATACTTCGCTACTCAATCTTTGCGAGGTGAGTGATGATCTATTTACTGTTTTTTTAATTTTTTATATACTGTTGGTTAATGTTTACCGTTCAATAATATTGTTATTTATATTCTAGATGAGGACTTTCTGCGTATCAACTGTGTTGCTTGTAGCCATAGCTTGGTTTTCGCTGGATTTCGCCCATTGGTACTTTAGGTTATTGAATAAATGGTGGTATTATTCTTTATCACAGGTGTGGGGTAAACTTTGTCCTGAGTCCCTGCGTGACAGCACTCGCCGGCAATTGCGTTTTAACGTGAGCGTGCGAATGTCAGCGTATCGGCATTGTGTTGTATATATTCTATGAGCGAGCAAGGACGCACTGCCATTCAAAAGGGAGTTCTATGTGCTCATGGCGCGCGCGTAAACTTTCTCGCTACCCAGAGATCAGAGACGCATGGTCCCGGATGGACGAGCGAGTAATATATTCCAGCGGGCGATAAAGAGCCGGAACAGGCGGGATGGTATATAGTATAACTTCATATATTACTAGCGCTAGTACTACAAGGCTTTTAAGATGGACTGTAAGACTATATCTAATTGCAGGGCGCTCTATCCGTAACTGCGCGGGTGAAGTTGGTGAGTGCGCCACGGTGAAGAGCCAAAACATTTGTGAACGCTATATCAGAAGTTTTCTTCTATAATTTCTCTTGAATTGAAGTGTCCTGGCAAAAGTTATGACAATTTTTGAACTCGTGATATTTAATAATTACTTTTGATTTTTTTTAGGCAAAGCACTGCGAAACACAGTGAGAAGGACACACCCGGTGGAAGGGCTTGGTTGTGTTCTATGGAAGGTTAATGCCTGCCAGAAATATATATTCATGTATTCAAACCAGGGTTGCGTGAAAGCAATTTGTCAAAATAAATCAAGAAAGTCGTACTTCAAAGTCATAGACCACAACAGAGAATGTGGCATTACATTTTGCAGGTGTTATTATATAATATCAACTCACGCGTACACTCACAGATATCACACTTCATTAAGTCTTCATTATAACTCGCTATAAATTCATTATAATTTATTAGGCGCCAAATATTCTTACCACCCAGTAACACGGAGCAAAATTATTTACACTTATCTTTGCCGTTGGTCGGTGCTAGTGTTGTATGTATTAGATGTATTGTATGATGCATAGAAATACATAAAGACACCTATATATAGAGTCGACTTATATTATTTCTATGGTATGATGCCAAACGATATATATATATATATATATATATATAATTGTGGGATAATTTTGTTAAATTCGCATATTTAAGGGTAGAGAGTAGTTAGTACGTACACCAGAGTAGTACGATAGAAACAATGCGATCCTCGTGTACGAGGCAACAAGGAACCGAGTTGTCCGAACCGTTCAAAAATCACTTCAAAACGGATTGATATCAAATCCGACGTTAGTTGCGTTAACCGTTTACAACCTAAAGTCGCTTTGGTTGTTTATCAAAACACTCACGCGCATGCGCGCGACACGTTAGTATAATTCACTACGAATAATTCCATTCATAAGTTTTCGACGATCTCTAACTTAATGCTGAATGCGGCGTCTCCTCGGCGCCCCGTGTCCCGCTGCATGAGAATGCCGTAGTGACGTCAGACGGCACTGTGCTGTGGATACCTCAGGCTGTGCTCACCGCTGGCTGTGTCTTCAACCTCACCGACACCGAGCACAGCTGCTTCTTCACGTTCGGCTCGTGGGTTTACAACGGAGAGCAGATGGACATGCTGCTAGACGAGGGAATCGACGGCTTCGACCTGAACTATCTCGATGACGCGATGAACCGCCGCTGGCAGGTGACAGGCTCTCACGCAGTGCGCAGTGCGAAGATCTATCCATGCTGCCCTGAGGTTTACCCGGACCTAAAGTTCTACCTTCAACTGAAGCGTCGCTCCATCGTTCACCGCCCCGGCTGCCCGCTGGACGACGATGACGATGACGACACCAGACATGGATACCGCCGTCGATACCGTCCGACGGGTCGCTGTGTGGAAGAAAGACAGAGATCGATCATTAATAATCAATATTTAATAGTAAATGATCGATTATCAATGTTAAATACTCATTAATCAATGAGTGAATCGATATCTGTATCTCTATAGATGCGTACATTCACGTTTTCTTTAAATTTGTGCGTGCGTGCCTGTGCATGCGTGTGCGTGCGTGCGTGCGTGCATGTGCATGCGTGTGCGTGCGTGCATGCGTGTGCGTGCGTGCGTGCATGTGCATGAGTGTGCGTGCGTGCGTGCATGTGCATGCGTGTGCGTGCGTGCATGTGCATGCGTGTGCGTGCGTGCATGTGCA